CTTGGATTGTAGTTCTCTTTCATTATCATAAACGAAATTAAATTTTCGCTTGCATAGTTTTCAAAATCCTTCTCTGGATCTTCGTTGTTAGATTTTCGTTTCATTTCCGTGTATTTGTCCTTAAACCAGTTAACTTCGTTCGGGCTTAAGTGCTGCTTGAGGAAAACACTCGTGGCTTTTTCTTTTTGATAACAATCCTGTGGCTTTTGCGTGGGCTTGCAGTAAAGAAATACACACACAGGTGAATCTGTTCTAGGAAGTTTAGTGGCTTGTTCCACAACTTGTGACCGCAATTCTCGGAACAAAAAATCATCAGTATTATCTACCAATGCTAACACGGGTGGCAACGACACTTCACTCTGCTCTCCATAGCCTATTTTTCTGAGATACAGAAGCTCTTTACAAGTATTGTCCTCAATCTTTGTAACAACCGCACAACGGTAGGGAAACTGTGGGTTGTGACGGAAATCCCACAGGGCTTGTCGAGTCATGGTGCTAGCCCCAGCTCCTATATGGTGATATAAGGTTATAGTTTGTACCTTTCCTTCTGTTCCTCGAGAATGCAGCTTTTCTATCAAGTTCCTTAGTTCAGAGTAATTGTCGCGTCTAAGTACATGATTCTTTTGAGCATCAGTAAACCAAAAATTCATCCAAGTAACAGGATACCCTCTATAAAAGGCTATTTCTGCCTTTGATGACAGTTCTGAACGTTGTACCGAACTTAAATTATTTAATTCGTCGCATTCCTTAGCACTCACAATCTCGATGCCATTAAAAGAAACGTTTCCTAATGGATAGGGACTTCCTGTAGCCATGGTTACATAAAGTTGGTTTCTGTCAGTTCCACAAACCATCTGCTGCATACACTCTTGAAATTCAGTCCACGACATTCCAACAACGCCCCTCTCTCTTAGTTCGTGTTCCTCTAAACAAGTGTTAGAGAGAGTTTTCTCCCATTCTGAAACAATTTCAGAATTTTCGGCCACGTATACCAACTGATTAGGTCCATTAAGAAACGTACAGAAATCTTTAAAAGTATCTGCCACTGGTTGATAGTCTTTTGATAAAAGCAAAAACAAGACGACTGCCCTTGCTTCAGGAATTTTTTTTGCCAGTGATTGCATTACTTGACTAAGACCCCTTTTCCTCGTGGAATTGTTCCACTGCTTAAACCCCAAAGCCTCTTTACCAAGTTTTGCATAACCATTTCCAAATATCCAATGAGTCTTGTAGTAGATGTCTTCAATTAAATTATCGTCCTCATCATAATCCTCTGCTTCGTGTATGTCGCACTGAGTTGTATCAGGCCCTTTGAATACCTTACAGAGACCTTTGCCATCGGAACCGTGATCATCGAAATCAAAGACTGTGAGCCACTTGATCTTTTGAACAAAACGGAACGTTTCGTCAAGCACTTGTTGATTCATATTGGCATCCGGTTTACTTAAAACCAAAATTGGGTAAACAGAGGAGTCTAATTTCTTTCTGTTTGAACACAGAAGNATATGGTGATATAAGGTTATAGTTTGTACCTTTCCTTCTGTTCCTCGAGAATGCAGCTTTTCTATCAAGTTCCTTAATTCAGAGTAATTGTCGCGTCTAAGTACATGATTCTTTTGAGCACCAGTAAACCAAAAATTCATCCACGTAACAGGATACCCTCTGTAAAAGGCTATTTCTGCCTTTGATGACAGTTTTGAACGTTGCACCGAGGTTAAATTATTTAACTCGTCGCATTCCTTAGCACTCACAATCTCGATGCCATTAAAAGAAACGTTCCCTAATGGATAGGGACTTCCTGTAGCCATGGTTACATAACGTTGTTCTCTGTCAGTTCCACAAACCATCTGCTGCATACACTCTTGAAATTCAGTCCACGACATTCCAACAACGCCCCTTTCTCTTAGTTCGTGTTCCTCTAAACAAGTGTTAGAGAGAGTATTTTCCCATTCTGAAACAATTTCAGAATTTTCGGCCACATATACCAACTGATTAGGCCCATTAAGAAACGTACAGAAATCTTTAAAAGTATCTGCCACTGGCTGATAGTCTTTTGACAAAAGCAAAAACAAGACCACTGCCCTTGCTTCAGGAATCTTTTTTGCCAGTGATTGTATTACTTGGCTAAGACCCCTTTTCCTCGTAGAATTGTTCCATTGCTTAAACCCCAAAGCCTCTTTACCAAGTTTTGCATAACCATTTCCAAATATCCAATGAGTTTTGTAGTAGATGTCTTCAATTACATTATCGTCCTCATCATAATCCTCTGCTTCGTGTATGTCGCACTGAGGTGCATCAGGCCCAGATTTGAATACCTTACAGAGACCTTTGCCATCGGAACCGTGATCATCGAAATCAAAGACTGTGAGCCACTTGATTTTTTGGACAAAACGGAACGTTTTGTCCACGATTTCTTGATTCATACTGGCATCTGGCTTACTTAAAACCAAAATTGGGTAGACAGAGGAGTCTAAAACCTTTTTGTTTGCGCATAGAAGTCTCTTAAGTTTAGTAAAAAGATCCCGTACAGGTATCTGACTTTCCATATTCTGATTGTTGGCTTGTTCTCGCATCTTCCTTTGTTCATCTAATTTGGGAAGGCGGTTTTTCATATAGTTTTCCATTTCCGGTAAATCAACAATTGCTTTTGTCTGCGAGCCATGTCTAACATAGGCTTTAGCTTCACGTTCCGTTTTTCCACGATTAAGAGCTTTAAACCCAACTTTGAAAATATCACCTTTACACAGGGAATAGTTTGGTTCGATGTCAACTTCTATGACCACTTTATCATCAGACTGTTGCTCTGCCCCCAGACCTTTTACAGGAACGAAAACAGGAGGTCGAACACAGTTGTGAACATTACTTCGACTTTCGCCAACAAAACACTTGTCAATGAACTCCGTAAGCTTGTCGTTGTAGAGGGGCTTGTTACTAACTGAAGAACCGACAATTTCTCTAGGTTTGTAACCGCAAGTTTGCGTTGCTACTTCATCAGCCACTCCAAAGTGTATTGTTCCATTCGTCCTTTCATTTAAACAACCACAGGCAAATCGCAAAGTCTCGTACACAAATTTCTTCATGCAGTCATCTTCACCAGAGTTGACACCAACTCGAAAAATTTTAAATTCGTGGACTGGATTAATCATGTCTTTTGGGCCAGTTTCCCAGCAGTTCAATACTGAACCTTCCCGGTAAAACTTACATGGGGTTCCAACTTCACTATTGAAGGATCTTGGAGATTGCAGCTGTGGAGTATCGAGCGTCAACAATGGTTTCTCGTCACTTTGACCTGGAGTTGAAACAGTCTTCGTTGTGTCACTTGTAGTGGGTTTTAGTTTTAGCGCGTTTTCCAGCAATAGCTGCTTTTCTTCTTCCTTGGATAAAACAGGTTTGGACGGTGTGTCAGTTACACTCTTGGTTGACGGATCCTCAGCGGACAGTGGCGCCTTCGAGTCATCCATTTGTTCGGTTGGCATGGGCAGGCTGGGTCTATTTGTCGAAACCTCTTTCCAAGCGTCACATGTTTCACCACTGCTTTGCTCCTCCTCATGTAATAGCAGCTCATGCTGAAGAACAATCCATGAGCCCAATGTCAAATGCAGGCACGCTTTCAGTTTATCAGAATTTCTCAATAACAAAATGAAGGCTCGTCCACTAATTTCCTCTTCCTCTGCTTTTACTAAGCACTCTTTTGGAGTGCCTAATTCATCAAGCCAACAACACAACTCTTTAACAGTCCATTTGCTCATCATCTTTGTTGTCTGGGGCTTGCCTGGTGTCTGGGGTTTGTTTGGCTCAAAGGCGTTTAAATGTGGTTCAAGGTCTTGCATCAGAATCGTCTCTGGCCCGGTTTTCATCTGAAAAACTGAGCGCAATTGATCGGGATATTTGCATGCTAACAAGAGCAGAGCGCGTCCATTTATGACTTCTTTCCGACAAATGTTTGCATACTTCTCATCTAGCCCAATTTCACAAAGCCAGGAGGCTGTTTTTTCCACATCCCATGTTTCCATTGACTGTATGGCTGCAAAAAAGACAGTTACTATTGTGAAGGACGGAAGCACTTGTAAACGATTTTGTAACTAAAAAGGCAAAATTAGCACAAAATCGTAACTACTTGAATTTTCTTAAACAGCTTGCTGGTCCGCCAGGATACTTCTCAGTTCTGACAGTGAAGAGCGCTGTTACTTGAGGTATTAGCTACTCTTCAGGGCGTCTAATTATGGTATGGACAGTCCCCACTTTCAGCGTTGAAGGGTTCTTTACTTTTTGAATAGCAAATAAGGAAGCAAGCAAGTAAGAAAGTAGGTACGTTTTGAGGTAGGTAAGTAGGTAAGTAGGTAGATAAAAGGGTATGTCTCAATTACTTTAGTGTCAACTGTTTCAGCATTAACAGTGTTGAGGGATTCTACCTAAGGCAGTCTGGAGTTTTCTTCAATATCTCAATCAACAAGACTCTCAGCAGAAGAACGGTAGATTAAAGGTTCATCGAAAATTAACATTTTCTCAGACCGTCAGGTTTCACTGCTTGCTTCCTCACGAATTCCTCCATTTAAAGTCAACTTCCTTGTTGACTAATAACTTTCTGTTCTTCGATCTTTCTTTGTCTTTCTTCCTTTTAACGGAAGTGATTGTCCTCATGACATTCATGAATACTGTTGCTTACAGCTGTGAACTAAGAAGTCACTGGTAGCACAGGCTTCGCAGCCGACTAGTGAACAGTTTGCAGTGGTATTGTGTTTGCAGTGGTTCAAATCATGTTCTTTGGCCGAGCCTTCTCTGCTACTGTTTTTAGTTACAGTGAAACCTGTATTGAGAGAACAAGTGTCTGCTTAAAATAGGGAGTCTACTTAAGCTGGCTGGGGACAGTTTCCAGCATTTTCCAGCATTTTCCAGCAGTTATATAGTATAACGACCACAACTTGTTCACCAATAATTGGGTATTTATTTGATACCACTATTGTTTCATCAAAGTATAACCACTGGAAAGTGCTGAGAACGGATGCCAGCCACCTTGGCATGGCGTCTGCTTAATACAGGTTTTACTGTAAAAACATTACAATATTTAGAGAGGAAGCCACATCAGCCTTAGCTGGTTTTCATGCGGGTCCTCTACCCTGATAGAATTGGAATTTGGAGATGCTGCTTTCTGTGGAGGGAGGAAAACCGGAGAACCCGAGAAAAACCCTCGGAACAAGACGAGAACCAACAACAAACTCAACCCACATATGGCATCAGGCCGGAATTGAACCCAGACTACTAGTGGGAGGTAAGCGCTCTCGCCACTGCGCCATCCCTGCTCATTTAACTCCCCTGTGCATCATGATGGCCGCCATCTTCTACATATGCATTTGTTCATTACTATTCAAAAGCATGATCTGCTACATTAGCACACGTGTAGACATTATCACACATTTCTTACCTTCTTCCTGTGATGTCGATGGATCATTCTCTCCCCCAACGGCACCTTCCTCTGTGGTTTCTCTGGGAAGTACTACAAAACAAAGGGATGAAAGTTTTTTAAGCTCCTAAGACATTGAAACGTTGATTTATTTTATTCCCAGTTGAAGAGCAAAACATATGTGAGTGATTTTTTAGAATGCTTTCTATACAATATGTGTATGGACGTACAAATATAATGATCTATTGAGTATGGGTTATAGCTTGCAAATAAATAAATGCAAATCTATCTTTAGCCAAGATGACATGTTGAAGTACAGTGTAAGCCATATTTTTAAAAATCAACCACAAAAGGTAGTATTACTAACGAGAGAGATTGACGAGTTAAACTACAAGCTTGTTCACGTGTAAGGCAAACCTTCTAACCTACTTCACGACCAGAATTGTGTTTATTCCTACCTCCACCTTTAAGAGACCCTACAGAGAGTGTAAGTGTTTGACTGTCTTGATTACAATCGACGAGGGGTCTTAAGCTTTGACTGTCACATAGCTGTAGAAAAAAATTCAAGAAACATCAGAGGCAACGAAACATTAGGCAATTTAGAAGCTAAAGAATTACAAGGTTGCTTTGCAGTTCAGGTTTGAAACCCTTCTCAATAAATGCGATTGCATTGCGTTTCAATGTCTTAGGAGCTTAAAAAATTTTCATCCCTTTGTTTTGTAGTACGTCCCAGAGAAACCACAAAGGAAGGTGCCGTTGGGGGAGAGAAAGATCCATCGACATAACAGGAAGAAGGTAAGCATTAAAGTTATTGTTGTTGTTGTTGTTGTTGCCAAAGCGCACCTTGCATAACATAGCCTTCTTAGAAGTTTAGAAGTTTGGGAACTAACTGACATTGCACAACAGCTTGTCCATGTACCTCAGCATAGGTATTATTCTTATCTTACTCTTAAAAAATATAAAAGTGTTGTTAAAGTTAAGATTTATGCGATTTACATTTCTTCTGAAAATTTCAAGTCTGTTTCAGTGGAAAGTAAGTAACTATTAGGTAGTAAAAATGTCTATTTTTCTGTCTTACCTTCTTTCCATTACAGTAAAGATCTTGGTCTTTGGTTGGAAGTCCAGTTCTCTCCATAATCTCACTTTTTACATCAACAACTGACGGCGGGTTAGTAAACTGTAAGCACAGAGGACCAAGGTAGCTATGCTCAATAATGACCTGAGTTCGTGAGCTGTAAAAAAAAAGCCAGTGTCATTTTTTTCTGTGTCTCTATATTTAGTTGAATATGCACGAATGTGAATGGATGTGCATGAATTTGACAGAAAGTACAGTAAATCCGCAGATGTAAAATGTTCTATTCTCATTTGAGGATGACGCAATGGTACAGTATATCTTACTGGTTGTTGCTTGCTGGTTTAGTGGCATTCTGATCCTCTAAGTGTATAACTTCCACTCCAGGAACAGTTTCTTCTTGTTTGCCTGATTCTGGGCCAGTTTCATGTACAGGTGGCACTGGTTCAACTACATGTACCCCTGCCATCTGATCCTCTGCATGTATAACTTCCACCCCAGGAACAGTTTCTTCTTGTTTGCCTGATTCTGGGCCAGTTTCATGTACAGGTGGCACTGGTTCAACTACATGTACCCCTGCCATCTGATCCTCTGCGTGTATAACTTCCACCCCAGGAACAGTTTCTTCTTGTTTGCCTGATTCTGGGCCAGTTACTTGTACAGGCAGCACTGGTTCAACTACTCCTGCTGTAGATGTAGCATCTCCTGCATTGCCACTATTACATTTGCTCTCTGAACATAAATTACCAAACTGAAATGACTCACTTTTGGAAAGCTCCAGCTTTAACACCTAAAGGAAGGTTAATAAACACTAGCTAGTAACCATTAGGACAGGCACTAGGTACTATCAAATGCATTTGACAATGATTGATGATTAGTAATATGTTACCAATGCCAGTAGTTTTTGTCAAGTTACCCTTGGCTAATAATATTATTCACAAACACCATTATCATTCAAGACATTTTTTCTTCCTTTTCATTGGCCAAAAGTCCATCACGAAACCTGCAAATAACCACAGGTCTGCAAATATTGGTCTTCTCATGTGTGATGCCATACAAAACGTGTTTCGCTGCAAATTATACTATTGTGCTTATACATAGATTAATTACCAACAGATGTACACACACTCCAGTGTGAAAAAAATGGTAGATCACTTTCTTAAGCTGTTAGAGAGTAACTCAAATATGAAAACAAACTTGGTGATCAAATGATAAAACAATATTATTACTGAACTCTGTTATCGCAAAATATTGGGATTCATCAGTGTCTTGTGCAATTTATTATTTGTTTCATTCATCTTTGGTCACAGTTTTTCAATATACGGACGTACCACCCGGCAAATAACATATTATGTATCACCTTCATGTTAATATCTGCCACTGCATAAGTTCAAGTGTACTATAACCAAACACCTGACCAGACAAACCTGTTTCTTCTTCTTCTTTTTCTTTAGCTTTGGTCTCTTCTTAAATGAAGCTGAACCAACACCACCAAACCAGACTGTCAAATCATCTCCCTTTCT